CTAACATGGTGAAACCCTGTCTCTACTAAAAATACAAAAAATTAGCTGGGCGTGGTGGCAGCGCCTGTAGTCCCAGCTACTCGGAAGGCTGATGCAGGAGAATGGCGTGAACCCAGGAGGTGGAGCTTGCAGTGAGCCAAGATCGCGCCACTGCACTCCAGCCTGGGCGACACAGCGAGACTCCGTCTCTAAAAAAAAAAAAAAAAAATTAAGGTTTTTAAGGTGAGGAATCATAAAACACAGTTGATAAACCTTAAATATTTTATTTTAATTTGAAATATTTAAATGTACTATAAATTTGCCAGTCTTAAGACCAAGTCCTTTGTTTTGTTATTGAGTACAAGTTTACTTCCTGTCTCTCATACAAACCCATACCCTTAATTTATTGCCTATAGTTTCAAATTTGTGTTTACCTAAAGTGGTATAAAAACTTTAAGCTACTTCAGACAGTTTAGTACAAAAATCTTTTAGATAGCTTCAGTTTTTTCTCTTTTTACAATTGCCTTACGCCTAATTTATCAGAAATTGGTTTGAGAGACTGACTTTCTGAACATTTAACTTAGTTTTTTTTTTCTTTGAGACAGAGTCTTGCTCTGTCACCCAGGCTGGAGTGCAGTGACACAATTCTCGGCTCACTGCAACCTCCATCCTCCATCTCCTGGGTTCAAGTAATTCTCCTGCTTCTCAGCCTCCTGAGTACCTGGGATTACAGGTGTGCGCCACCACGCCCAGCTGATTTTTGTGTTTTTAGTAGAGATGGGATTTCACCATGTTGACCAGGCTGGTCTTGTACTCCTGGCCTCAAGTGATCCACCTGTCTCAGCATCTCAAAGTGTTGGGATTACAGGTGTGAGCCACCATGCCCAGCCTAACTTAGTTTTTATAAAAGCAACTTCTTTTTGCACTAGGTTTTCAACAGTTTACTGAATGTCTGATTAAATCACTCGTTATTATGATAGTATAGCTAAGAGAAATACAACTAACTTGTGAGTAGCATATAACTTACCCAGAGGATATTGTGGTAGCATATATGAAAACAGCATTCATCTTTCTGTACATTTCCATCCGTGCTCTTAGGTGCCTAGGCACAGTATCAATGAGCAATAATATTTTGAGAGGAATTTTTTTTTTTCCTGAGCAGTAGGTCTCAACACTGGGCTTAAAATATTCAGTAAACCATGCTATAAACAGATGTGTTATTATGCAGGCTTTGTTTTTCCACTTATAGAGCATAGGCAGGGTAGATGTAGCATAATTCTTAAGGGCCCTAGGATTTTTGGAATAGTAAATAAGCATTGACTTCAACTTAAAGTCACCAGCTACATTAACCCCTAACAAGACAGCCTGTCCTTTGAAGCCAGGCATTGACTTCTCCTCCCTAGCTAGGAAAGTCTCAGATAAAATCTTCTTGGAATATAAGGCTAGTTCATCTACTTTGAAAATCTGTTTAATATAGCTACCTCCATCAATTATGTTAGCTATATCTTCTGGATAATTTGCCTCACCTGCTCCATCAGCATTTGCTGCTTCACCTTGCACTTTTTTTTTTTGAGTCTTACTCTGTCACAAGGCTGGAGTACAGTGGCGCAATCTCGGCTCACTGCAACCTCCACCTCCCAGGTTCAGGTGATTCTCCTGCCTCAGCCTCCCAAGTAGCTGGGACTACAGGCTCATGCCACCACGCCCAGCTAATTTTTGTATTTTTAGTAGAGACGGGGTTTCACCATGTTGGCCAGGATGGTCTCAATCTCTTGACCACGTGATCCACCCGCCTCGGCCTCCCAAAGTGCTGGGATTACAGGTGTGAGCCACTGCGCCCAGCCCCTTGCACTTTTATGTTATGGAGATGGCTTCTTTCCTTAAACCTCATAAACCAACCTCTGCTCACTTCAACTTTCCTTTGGCAGCTTTCTCATCTCTTTCAGGCTTTATAGAATTGAGGAGTTTAGTCCTTGCTCTGGGTTAGGCTTTGACTTAAGGGAATGTTGTGGTTGGCTTGGTCTTTTATCTAGACCACTAAACCTTTCTCCACATCAGCAATAAGGCTGTTTTGCTTTCTAATCATTCATGTGTTCACTGGAGTAGCACTTTAAATTTCCATTAAGAACATTTTCTTTGCATTCACAGCTTGGCTCTTTGGTGCAAGAAGCCTAGCTTTTGACCTGCCTCAGCTTGTGACATGCCTTTCTTACTAAACTTGATCATTTCTAGCTTTTGATTTAAAGTGAAAGATGTGCGACTCTTCCTTTCACTTGAATACTTATGTGCCATTGTAGAAGTTATTAATTGATCTCATTTCAATATTGTTTTGTCACAGGGAATAGGGAGGCCTGAGGAGAGGTGGAGAGATGGGATGGCCCAGTCAGTGGAATGGTCAGAACATACACAGCATTTATCAATTAAGTTCACTATCTTATATAGACACAATTTGTGACTCCTCAAACCAATTACTATCAAAGATCATTTATCATAGATCCCCATAACACATACAATAATAATGAGAAAGTTTGAAATATTGTGAGAATTACCAAAATGTGACACAGACATGAAGTGAGCACATGCTTTTGGAAAAATGGTGCTGATAGACTTGCTTGACATAGGGTTGCCACAAATCTTTAATTTGTAAAAGTAATATCTGCGAAGTGCAGTCAAGCAAATTGCAATAAAATTAGGTATGCCCATATTCTGTATAACCACATTGTTTAAACAGTTAAGGCACGGTGAGCCACTCTGATTTAGGGTGAGCGTTGTATCAGTGTAAGTAACTGTTTACCAGCCAAATTCTCAGCCACCAGCTGGCAAAGGTGCACTAAGGATAGACAGTCTTAGACTTCATGTGTTAACTCTTGTATAGTCCTTGATATGCAGCCCCCACGGAAAAAAACAAAAACAAAAAAAAACTTCACCCTTATTTAGCTCTAAAGTAAAATAAATTAACATGAAGTGAATCATAGACTTAAACCTATTAAAATATTGCTGTTCATTTATTCAGCAGTCTTAGTATATCATTGGTATATAAAAATACCTTATGTAGTGATATAAATAACTAAATAACTTGTCATATTTGTTGCAAGTATATGCCAGAATGCCATTTGCTTTTTTTTAAATATCCTTTTAGACTTACAGAAATAATAATTTTTGGTTACTAAATCTATTGATTTTCTTCCTTTGAGATGTCTTCTCTTACTTTTTTTTATTTTTTTTAAGAGACAGAGTCTTGCTCTGTTATCCAGGCTGGAGTGCACTGGTGCAGTCTAACTCACTGCAGCCTCCAGCTCCTAGGCTCAAACAATCCTCTTGCCTCAGCCCCCTCCCCAAATGGTTGGGACCATAGGCACAAGCCACTGCACCCAGCTAATTTTTTTTTTTTTAACTTTTTTTAGAGACACGGTCTCATTTTGTTGCCCAGGATGATCTCAAATGCCCTGGCTTCAAGCGGCCCTCCTGCCTCAGTCTTCCAAAGTACTAGGATTAAAGGCATGAGCTACCGTGCCTGGCCCATTTTATCTGTAGAAAGTCCAAATCCTTCCAGTGAATATTCACTAACATTTTCTTTTTTTTTTAATGCATTTATTTTTGATGTTTAGCTACTTAATTCATCCTGAATTTGTATGATAATATATATAAGGAGCTTTTCCCCCAAGCTAACCATTTGTTCAGACATCATTGCCTCCTTTATGTGTACTATGTATCTCTGTATGCCATTTTTTAATTTTGCCTGTAGATTTTTGTGCCAAGACAAAGTGTCTTTTTATTATCATTACACAATCATAAAATATTTTAATTCCTGTTAGGATTAATTTTCTTTCATTTCTTTTCTTTTCTTTTTTTTTTTTTTTTGAGACAGAGTCTCACTCTGTTGCCCAGACTGGAATGCACTGGTGCGATCTCAGGTCTCGGCTCACCGCAACCTCCCCCTCCCAGGTTCAAGTGATTCTCCTGCCTCAGTCTCCCAAGTAGCTGGGACCACAGGCGTGCATCACCACACCTGGCTGATTTTTGTATTTTTAGTAGAGATGGGGTTTCACCATGTTGACCAGGCTGGTCTTGACCTCCTGACCTCAGGTGATCCTCTGCCTTGGCCTTCCAGAGTGCTGGGATTACAGGCATGAGCCACCGTGTCTGGCCTGTTTCTTTTCTTTAAACAAAAAATATTTTTTTGATCAATTCTCATTTGCTTTTACTCACAGATGAACTGTATAACCTCTTTTCCAGGTTCTAGAAAGAAAGCTCCCCAGGATTATTGTTGTTGTTTTTTTATTTTGTTTTTTGTTTTTTGTTTTTTGTTTTTGAGGCGGAGTCTTGCTCTGTTGCCTGGGCTGGAGTGCTGGCGTGATCTCAGCTCACTGCAACCTTCATACCTCAGCCTCCTGAGTAGCTGGGATTATAGGCGTGTGCCACCACGCTTGGCTAATTTTTGTATTTTTTAGTAGAGACAGGGTTTTGCTGTGTTGGCCAGGCTGGTCTCGAACTCTTGGCCTCAAGTGATCTGCCTGTCTCAGCCTCCCACAATGCTGCGATTACAGGTGTGAGTTACTGCACCTGGCCTCCCCAGGATTTTAATCTGAGCAGTTCTTAACTAAGACTAGGAAATTTTGGTTGGGAAAAAAATACGGTCATTTAGGACCATCAAATATGGTCTCGGTAGGAAAGAACTGAGAAGAGGATAAAGAAAGTGTTATTTTTAAGTTATGATTGTCCAAATCACTAGTATCCCTGTTAAAGCGCTTATTTCTTCTCTTTGATTCCTCTTAGGGGTTTTATGATGTTCTTCGAAGGAACTCTCAGCTGGCTAATTCAATCATGCAAACTCTGCTCTCACAGGTAAAATACATTTTTACGGATATATGGAAAACAGATAATCAAGGATTGAGAGACAATTGATGGTTTTTAGACCTTTCAAAATATAAAATAATTCCCAACGAGTACATTGGTACTTTGTGAACATGCTATGGGTATGTGATGCTGTTCTGGGTTGTCTTTTCTCGGTCACCGCTTACCTGTCTGCCATAATACCATCATCTAGCAGTTATCCCTGTGAATTAACAGTCTGTATCCCAAGTCAGAAGGACATTTTGAAGAACCGTTTATATAAGGACTATCAGCAGCTGTATCCATTATGTTATATTTCTGAAAGAAAAAAGAAATACAAAACAAATATAGCAAAATATTATTTCTTAAATCTGGGTAACAGATACATGGATGTCTTTTACGTTCCTTTCTGCACTTTTCAGTTAACAATTTTTTAAATTAGAAGACTAAATTCTTCTAATCTTCAAGATTAGAGACTCTACCAGGAGGGTTCCTCTACACCCCTAGTCTGTCATTTTGTTTGCTCTCAATGCCATTGCTTTATGATAGTTATGAAGTTTCATTTGAAATTAAGGTCTCAGATGTGTGAAAATATTGGAAGGTCCCATACTATCCATCAAAAGCTTTTCATTTGGCCTTGGGCTTGATCCTATATAAAATTTATATTCTGTTAGCTGTATTGTATCTTTCAAACTGTAATCAACACATTTACATTGGCATGTTTAACAAAAATAGAAAATTGTGTTTGAAGGCATAGAATAGCACTTTCTGACTCAAGTTAATGTGCAGGCCAGTAAAATTCTGCAGACTCCAAAAGTTAAAAGAAAAATAGTAACTCATATTTTTTTGGCTCTCTTATATGCCAAATACTGTTTGAAGTACTTTACATGTATTGTCATGTTTAATCCTTATACAATGAATATTAATAATATCCTCATTTTTAAGATGAGGAACCAAGGTACAGATACCCTTATAAAAAGCAGTAATAAGTAATGGTACTGGGATCTTGGACTCAGCCATTCTGACTCTGGATCCTATATTTTTAACCTCTAAGTTAACTGAAAATGTTGATTGCATGTACAAGTTTAGGAATAGAAGGAATTGGAATAGGAAAGATGAACCTAATCAGTACTATATCCAAAGCAAGAGCACAGGATGTGCATAAGCCAAAGCAATAAAATTTGGCTGCATTGTTCTTTGAACAGTTGGGAAATGTGTCTTAGAAGGCATTAGACATTAAAGATACCTTTCACCTGACAAGTTAAAAAAGTAAAAAGCATTTATGAGCCAAGATGTCTTTTTTTCCTTACTATACACAGTTAAAACAGTTCTATGAGCCAAAACCTGATCTGCTGCCTCCTTTGAAATTAGAAGCTTGTATTCTGACCCAAGGAGATAAGGTCTCTCTACAAGAACCACTGGTGAGACTTTTATTCTTCCTTCAACCATTATTTTTAGTATTAAGGATAGGGTTGAACTTCGCAAAGAGATACCTTTCCCTGTGAAACTCTCTTCCTGGTTCTTCCAATGAATGTTTACTTTTAAGTCTTCCCTGCTTATCATTTCTGAACCCTTATTATTTTGGATCTATTGGTAAGTTATCTCTGTGTTAGCCCTTTACTAAATCAAGGCTTCCATCACTTCCCCCAGAGAATATTTTATCTCATTTATGAATCTTTGATTACATTTACTAAATATGCTTTAGAATGGGGACCTGCTTCATTAGTCTAGAGGATGTATATGATTTAGGCTGAACTAGGATTGGCACTGTTGAACCTTCAAAGGAGCTGGCCTGGTTGACTTTCTGTTCTTATCTAGCCTTAGGACAGCGAAGAGGATAAAAATGGAAACTCTCACCCCACGTAACTTATAACTCATGGCAGAAGAAAGGAGGAAGTCTTTCCGTTGTCATATCTTACCTTCATTTTTGTGCCTTCTGTGACATGAGATGTCCTCAGCCTAGATCTAAGATGCTGTGTTGGTCTCCTAAAGATTCCCTCAACATAAACCTCTATCTTTAGAATAGCTTCTGGGACTCAAATGAACTACAGAAGATTTAACTTCACCACCTAGCTCCAGGGTTATTTGTATCAGACCAGAGATAGCACATCTAATGTTGCATTTTGAGGTGTCAGCCACTTAGGCCAATTTTCGGGGGGCAGCATTAGAAAAGGATGCTGCTATTCAGTTTATTTTCCCAGTTTCGTTAATTTAGATGGACTTAATTTGTAACACTAATGAATCATTTTCTTTATCCTTATAGATAAGAATTATTTGCTGGTTATGAACAACTTTATAGGTTATCCATCAACACTCAAGAGTATTTAATTTACTTATTTTCTCCTACAGGATTATCTGCTGTGTTGTATTCAGCATTGTTTAGCCTGGTATAAGAATACAGTGATACCCTTACAGCAGGGAGAGGAGGAAGAGGAGGAGGAAGAGGCATTCTACCAAGCCCTAGATGATATATTGGAGTCCATTACTAATAGAATGATTAAGAGTGAGCTGGAAGACTTTGAACTGGTAATTGCGAGTCTTCAGCTGTATTGAATGATGGAGTTCTTTAGTAGCTTATTAATTTGTATCTTGTGTCTTTTAGGATAAATCAGCAGATTTTTCTCAGAGCACCAGTATTGGCATAAAAAATAATATCTGTGCTTTTCTTGTGATGGGAGTTTGTGAGGTTTTAATAGAATACAATTTCTCCATAAGTAATTTCAGGTAAGGTATTGCCATAACTCCACTTGTAATTTGGTGAATTCTCCATTTTATTTATATATTTTTACTGTAGCAATATTCCAGGCAGTAAACAGACTAAATGAGCACCTAGTCTAAGACTAAACTGTGTTCTTTCCACTAGAGAACACTGAAGTATATGCTTACCAGGCCTATAAAATGAAAGCCTTCCAGCAGGGTTTCACTTACTCAGAATTTCCCAGACCCTGAATTCAAGAACTCCTAATGGAAATTTTGATTGGTGGTAGTATTGGACTTTAATGCTCTGCAGGGACTGGTATAAATAAGGGAGGGGAGGCCAGGCACAGTGGCTTACGCCTGTAATCCCAGAACTTTGGGAGGCCAAGGTGGGTGGATCATTTGAGATCAGGAGTTCAAGACCAGCCTGGCCAACATGGTGAGACCCCGTCTCTACTAATAATGTAAAAATTAGCCGGGTGGTAGTGGTGGGGACCTGTAGTCCCAGCTACTCAGGACGCTGAGGCAGGGGAATCACTTGAGCCTGAGAGGCAGAGGTTGCGGTGAGCCGAGGTCACACCAGGGGAAACATAACCCGGATAGATTGCTATGACCTGGGAGTATTATATTAACGAAGTTCTATTCATTTATAATGTTTTGTCTAAAATATGATATTTAAAGAAGCATTGTGATTTATTTATTATCATATGTAAAAGTAAACCACAATATTCTGATGTTTGTCCTTAGCGGTCTCTTTTTTGTTTTTTACAGTAAGAACAAATTTGAGGACATTCTGAGCTTATTTATGTGTTACAAAAAGCTCTCTGACATCCTTAATGAAAAAGCTGGTAAAGCCAAAACTAAAATGGCCAACAAGACAAATGATAGTCTTTTGTCCATGAAATTTGTGTCCAGTCTTCTCACTGTTCTTTTCAGGTAAGGTTCTGCTAGAGTGCTTAAAGACAGCCACTCCCCGAGGATCGTATGCCTACCTAGGCTCACTTGTTTCACCTCGTTTGGATTATTTACAGTAAGAATTAAGTCAGGAGGTTTTAATTTTCTTGAAATGAATGCTGGACAATCCTAGGTAGATACTTTAAATAGGTACCTTGAATTATTAAAGGATAAATGAGGAACAGTGGGCTAATAAATGAAAAGGTAGGGATGAATTCCAACAGGGTGTTTTAAGAAAGTCTATATAAGTGGCTTGTGCAAGATAACAGATTTAAAAAGGTAGGGGGCACCAGGCCTGGTGTCTCACTCCTGTAATTCCAGTACTTTGGTAGACTGAGGTGGGTGGATCACCTGAGGTCAGAAGTTCAAGACCAGCCATGACCAATATGGTGAGACCTCATCTCTACTAAAAATACAAAATTAGCCGGGCATGGTGGTGCGCACCTGTAATCCCAGCTACTTGGGAGGCTGAGGCAGGAGAATCACTTAAACCCAGGAGGCAGAGGTTGCAGTGAGCTGAGATCACGCGATTGCACTCCAGCCTGGGCAACAAGAACAAAACTCTGTCTCTAAATAAATAAATAAATAGACAGATAGGTGGGGAGTGACTGAATTAAAAATACAAAGGAACAGAAAAAGAGACTAAGACTGACATTTAAATTTTATCAAAGTAAAGGATTTGGGGAGGGGGAGAAAATGAGGAACCACTAGGAATAACAATTATAAAAGGGCAGCCATAGCAGTGACTATAGCTTGGGCTGCCTAGAGAGTCTGCCAGTTGGAGCTTACTGGCAAGCTGTTGGGTGCTGCTGTTCTGAACAATTTCTAGAAAGCTTAATTCCATATACCAATAGCAGTAAGGGAATCTTTCTTGTTCTCTCTCTCTCTCTAGGGATAGTATCCAAAGCCACCAAGAAAGCCTTTCTGTTCTCAGGTCTAGCAGTGAGTTTATGCGCTATGCAGTGAACATAGCTCTGCAGAAAGTACAGCAGCTAAAGGAAACGGGGCATGTGAGTGGCCCTGATGGCCAAAACCCAGACAAGATCTTTCAGAACCTCTGTGACATAACTCGGTAAGCCACTCCCACCCCTTAGAAACTTACTCCACCTGGCCGTGGTGTCTTCAAGAGAACAAACTGGGAACGGAGGATGAAGGTAATTTGAGGTTACACATATTTTAAGAGTGAAAGAATATAAAAAATTAGCCAAGCGTCGTGGCAGGTGCCTGTAATCCCAGCTACTCAGGAGGCTGAGGCAGGAGAATTGCTTGAACTGGGAGGTGGAGGTTGCAGTGAGCTGAGTTCATATCACTGCACTCTAGCCTGGGTGACAGAGCAAGACTCTCAAAAAAAAAAAAAAAAAAAAAAAAGCCAGGCACGGCAGCTCACGCCTGTAATCCCAGCACTTTCGGAGGCTAAGGCGGGTAGATTACCTGAGGTCAGGAATTCGAGACCAGCCTGACCAACATGGGGAAACCCTGTCTCTACTAAATATACAAAAATTAGCCAGGCTTGGTGGTGCATGCCTGTAATCCCAGTTACTCGGGAGGCTGAGGCAGGAGAATTGCTTGAACCAGGGAGGTGGAGGTTGCGGTGAGCGTAGATTACACCGTTGCACTCCAGCCTGGGTGACAAGAGCAAAACTCTGTCTCAAAAGAGTGAAAAAAAGTGCAGTCATTGACATAGGGTCTTTTTTCTAGTCCTGCCTTCCCCTGGCGCAC